TATCAGTAGGAGAGCACCTGGCCTGCAGCTGGGATGCATGTGTGCCAGTGGATAGAGCATCTGGCCTGCAGCTCGGATGCATGTGTGCCAGTGAATAGAGCACCTGGCCTGCAACTGGGATGCATGTGTGCCAGTGGATAGAGCACCTGACCTGCAACTGGGACACGTGTGCCAGTGGATAGAGCACCTGGCCTGCAGCTGGGACACACCTCTTCCAGTAGGAGAGCACCTGACCTGCAGCTAGGACACATGTGTGCCAGTGGATAGAGCACCTGGCCTGCAGCTGGGATACATGTGTACAGTGGATAGAGTACTTAGCCTGCAATTGGGATGCATGTGTGCCAATAGCTAGAGCACCTGGCCTGCAGCTAGGACACACCTATTCTAGTAGGAGAGCACCTGATTTGCAGCTAGGACACATGTGTGCCAGTGGATAGAGCACCTGGTCTGAAGCTGGGACACGTGTATGGTGGATAGAGCACCTGGCCTGCAGTTGGGATGCATATGTGCCAGTCGATTGAACACCTGGCCTGCAGCTGGGACACATGTGTGCCAGTGGGGAGAGTGCTTATCTAACACCCCCAGCACTAAGCAAAGGGAGTGTGCTGGGCATCCTGTAATCTCAGTTGGGAAGTGGATGTTGGAGAATCAGAAATCCAAGGTTATGAATACTGAGACCCTGTCTTCATGCAAACAGACAAACAACTACCAAACTGAACCAATAAAAAAAAAAAAAGTTCAGGGCTGGAGAGATGACTCAGTGGTTAAATGCACTGACTGCTCTTCCAGAGGACACAGGTTCAATTCCCAGCACCCACATGGCAGCTCACAACTGTCTGAAGATCCAGTTGCAGGGGATCTGACACCTTCACACCAATGCACACAAAATAAAGCTAAATAAACCATAAAAATATTTTTAAAAAAGTTCTGGGTTTTGGACCATTCTCAGAAGAAGTCTGTTTCTGATTAGGGAAGATTGCAACAAGCAAACAAGAAAAATTCAGTGTCAGGAAATAAAACAGGATCAGTGTTAAAAGAGGAGTGGGGGGTTTATCCAGGTGAGGAGGATGGGAGCACCATCTCCGTCTCCAGGAGGACATGCACATGGGTGAGAAGCATGCTGTGCGAGAGGAGGGTCCATGCAGAACAAGCCCATAACAAATGATCCTGAGCTAACAATAGGTGGTGGCATTCATGAAACCAAGGAAGGCCAGAGGGTCTGAGAATACAGAGGAGATGGAGGATGAGACAGAAGGGGCTGAGCTGACAGAGCTGGATTTTATTGTTGGTGTCAAGGGAGGCTACCCGAAGTGTTAAGCAGGAGGATGACTGTGAGTTCGAGGCCAGCCTGGTCTACAGAGCGAGTTCCAGGACATCCAGAGCTACACAGAAAAACTCTGTCTCAAAAAATAAACAGAAAACAAAAGCAAACCCAAAGCCGGGCGGTGGTGGCGCTTGCACAGCTTTAATCCCAGCACTTGGGAGGCAGAGGCAGAGACAGGTGGATCTCTGTGAGTTCAAGGCCAGCCTGGTCTACAGAGCTAGTTCCAGGACAGGCTCCAAAGCTATAGAGAAAACCTGTCTTGAAAAACCAAACAATCAAATCAAATCAAATCAAATCAAATCTTCAATTCTGTTCCACACTGAGTAGTTCTGAAATTATTTTCTGTGTCAAAGCTACAAACCCTTGCCTGGCCTAAGTCAAGCGTCCTAAAAGATTAAGGCAGTCCTCAGGCTGCTGAGGTGAGAGTGTGGAGCTGGGTCTATCTTCTTACTGCTGTCTTAAAAAACAAAATCAGGTGGCGAACAACAGAGGACAACACCAGATGCTGACCTGTGACCTCTGTGCAGATGTACCTGCATACATATGTGCACATACAACATCTAAACACAAACACACTAAATATAGCAGACCTGATCTGCCACTGAAATCACAAACTCTGGACTGCACTTTTGCTGGTGAGATGGAGGGGCGCTGGCTGTGAGGCCTGACAACAACATGATCCCAGGACTGAGTGGCCGAGGGTGAGGACCCACTCTTGCAGGTCGTCCTGGGTGTATTCAAACACACATAAACGTAAGTTGTCAGACAAATGCAAAATAAAATAAAAACAAAAACAAATAAAGCTTACTTAGTCCAGATGCTTGATAAACCCACAATGCCAGATGTGCGGTTGTTTTCAGGGGCCCACTGAACCCCTGGCTGTTGAAAGGGTAGAAACAGAGAGAGCAGCTGGCTGGAAATTTAATGTCTTGAACTCTAGCCCCAGTTCTAGCTTTGTTTTGGGGACTCAGTATCCCCAGGCAATCATTGGAAATAACATGACCTCTTCCTAGATGAGCTGACTGAAGAGTAAGCAGCATGCTTGTGGAGGAGCACTCAGTTAGGGCCAGTGAGCACTCAGGTAGGGCCAGTGAGCACTCAGGTAGGGCCAGTGAGCACTCAGCTAGGGCAGTGAGCACTCAGCTAAAGCCAGTGAGCACTCAGCAAGGGCCAATGAGCACTCATCTAGGGCAGTGAACACTCAGCACAGGGCAGTGAGCACTCAGCTAGGGCCAGTGAGCACTCCTCTAGGGCAGTGAGCACTCAGCTAGGGCAGTGAGCACTCAGCTAGGGAAGTGAACACTCAGTTAGGCCAGTGAGCACTCAGCTAGGGAAGTGAGCACTCAGCTAGGACCAGTGAGCACTCAGCTAGGGCAGTGAACACTCAATTAGGGCAGTGAACACTCAGCTGGGCCAGTGAGCACTCATCTAGGGAAGTGAGCACTCAGCTGGGGCAGTGAGCACTCAGCACAGGGCAGTGAGCACTCAGCAGAGGATCAGAGAGCACCTGGAAGATGTTTAGTTAATGGCGAGGGCTCTGGGGACAAATAGGTAGCAGATAGAATTGTATGAGGCTTGCTGCCTTTGATGTGTGAATTCTAATCCTTCCTGGGCCTCAATTTCCGTCTCTATAATTAGGTATCCATTATGTCATATCATTGCCACAGTCTCTGTGCCTGTGAGTGCTATGAGAGGAGCAGAGGTAAGTCCATGTCTTTCCCTGAAGGATCAGTTGAACCAGTGTTTTGGTCTGGGGATGCTTCCTGAGGCCTTGCAGCGTGGGTTGGGATGTCTTAAAGGATATCATCGCCCTCTTATGGCCACAGCTGACTCAACAGCTGGACTCTAGTTGGCTCCCTCCAGGAGGGGAGAAAGTGTAACTGGCTGCTGAGTGACTGTGTCATTGACTTCCTGGCAGGGTTGGCTTTCTTGATAAATGTAGCTGTGAGCATTGGTTCGGGTAAGGAATGCTGACCCTGTGGAGATTTATAGACAATAGGCCAGGTGGATCTTCAAGGGAGAGAGGACCAGATTTAATTTTCCTTAGGGTACCCATTTGAGTGGAGAACTATGTTGCTGATTCTGTGAAGTTGAAATTCAATGGCAGGGCATAGAGGTGCACGTTTTTAATCCCAGCAGAGGCAGAGGCAGGCAACTCTCTGTGAGTTCAAGGCCAGCTTAGTTTTTCTAGCAAGTTTAGGCTAGGTAGGACTACAAAGAGAGACTTTGTCTCAAAACAAACAAACAGAAGACAGACAAATTCAGTGAGCTTCAAACCTGGCAGAGCTAAGGGAAAGGGGGTTAGTGAATGGTGGGGAAAAGGGCCCAAGGAAATGTCTCTTTTAAACAGGAGGCTCAGATAAGCCTCAGGAGACATCAATCCAATCTTCCCACCACTACTGAACAGCATCCAAGAGCGCTCAGTCTGTGTAAATATAAACAAAGATCTCTGTGTTGTGTGCATACATGGCCTCCCTACCAAATGCACTTGTCTTGCCACATGTGGCTGGCTTTTACAACAGCTATTTCTCAAAAGAAACACTCTCACTCATTCAGAAGAGTCCTTACTAAGGCACAGTGAGAGCCACGGGGACAATAGGCAAGGACCCAAACCAGCACCTACGGGGCAGCTCTGATGTAGAATACAAGGTCCACAGGAATAGTATTCAAGGAGCTCTACCTTCTGCACACATGATGGTTTCTGTAAATCCTGCCTCCAGTTCTGATCTTTAGCCTATAAAATACTAGATTATAGTGGTTTAGAGTTATATGGAAAAAGTCAAGACCCATTTCTCAATCTCTAGACTTGGCCAACAATAAATAGAATGATGAGTATGGGATATAGTTTGAGCAAAAACTCATAATACTACAGTTTGGCATGATGGTTCACACCTGTAATCCCAGCACTTGGGAGGTGGTGGAGGAGGATAAGGACATCCTGGGTTACACAGCCAGTTTGAGATCATCCTGAGCTACGTGAGACCCTGCAAACAACCACAATAACAACAACAACAACAAAAACAACAACAACAAACTAAACCTAGGGCTGGAGAGATGGTTCAGTGGTTAAGAGTACTGCTTGCATTTCAGAGGACCCTAGTGTTGATTCCCAGCATCCACATGTCGTTCAGCAAACATCTGTAACTACAGTTTTGGGGATCTGACACACTTTTTTCGGCCTCTGTGGGCACTAGAGGCCCAAGTACTCAAGTAGTACAAAGACATACATAAAGGCAAAACTCTTATACACATAAAGCAACAAACCAATCACAATCGAAAACAACCACCACCACCAACAAAGACACAACCTACTCAAATTTGCATAATCACAGCTTTTGGGAGGAGGAGGCAGGAAGATCAGTTCATCAGGATTATCTGCGACTATACAAAGTTTGAGGCCAGCCATGCCACACACACGGCATGTTTCTCCAAAATAAAAACAAACACAGCATTCCAACACCAAACCAAATCAACATCATACTCCATGACAACATGAGAATTAATTATTCCACAGACGCTTCCTTGCCAATAGTAAATATGGCATCTCGGCGCCCTCCTCTCTCCCTTAGGTTAACTTAATAGTTGCCAATAGTCAACATGGCCGCCACACCATGCATTCCTATTGGTTGCTGCTCTGAAGGTGGGCGGGAGTTGTTGCGTCGATAGTAGAGCTACGCCTGCGTAAGTCATTGGCGCCAAGATGGCGATGGAGATGAGGCTTCCAAAGGCTCGCAAACCTCTCAGTGAGAGCCTGGGCCGCGACTCTAAGAAACATTTGGTGGTACCGGGAGATACGATCACCACGGACACAGGATTCATGCGGTATGTGAGGATTTGGGGGGCCCAAGACCTCAGGAGACGGCTGCATAGCTCTCTGCACGTGGCCTATTGCCCCGGAACCCAGGCTTCCTGTCCTCTTGTATCTAAGTTACCGAAGTATCTGCGACACATCCTAGCATCCACATTAGCCTCCTCCCTTCCGAGCCTTGTGCTTCTGACTCCCTTAATCTTGGATGGCCCTGTCTCAACCCGAGTCCCTCCTTTGACCTATGGCACCTGAAACTTTCGGGTCCTCAGCCTGAAACAAGTTTTTGAGCCTTCGTTGGGAGGGAGAAATGGGGAGGTCTGGAAGGAGGACCTTCCTTACAGCACTCTGAAGGGACAGTGGGCATTGCTAGCTTGGTCACCTCAGCGAGAAGTCCGGTTTTGAAGCAGTGATTTGTGTGTGTGTGTGTGGGGGAGTTAAGCCAATATACCGTGCTAGATGCACCCAAGTGTACAAACTTAACTCGTAAAGGCAGGCATCTTGTGGCAGTTTGGGCAGGCTGTGGAGCCGGACAGCTGCCGTCGTTATTGTTATCATTAGCCATAGTACCTTGCTAAGGTCGGTATCTTCGCCCTGAAGACAGCGGTGGCAACAGTAATCGATAAGGTAGTGAGGGTTATGTGACCGAAGAGTAGGGCAGAAAAGCAAAGTCCACCGTCGTGTTACCACCTAAGGTGATTCTGTGTTCTGTAGCCAGGCTCTCCCTCTTGCGTTGTTCTGTCTCTGTGTCTCTGCCACTCTGAGACACTGGCTGTCCTGGACCACTACGTAGACCACTCAGGCCTGAAGCTAAGATCCCCCTGCTTCTGGCTCCCAAGTTCTGGGCTCAAAGATGTGGCTACCACACCAGGTTCTTTCCGGTTTTTGGTACAAATGAGGTTAAAGCGTTTATAGCATTGCCTCTAAGCTTAAGGTTATCGGATGGTAGAACCTTTAGGATTCATTCCTTCATGCTTTCAGCATACCCTGTGGGGTACACGAGTGCAAACCTGTGCCCTGGCGGAGTTTCCCATCTAGCAAGGAGACTTAAGCAGGCACGGCCATCAGAAAGCTGTAACTGCAGTGGCTGCGGACGAGCAGGGTCGGAGGAGCAGCTGAGCATAGGGTGGCTGAGGCAGCAGTGGGAGGGCTCCTGCGTTGCCTGGGATACTGGAGGTAGGTTGTTGGAAAGTGGCATCTGAGCTGACCTCTTTAGGATGAAAGAGATGGTTCGTGTGGCTCTCTGAGGAGCATGCATTGGGCTCAGGGTAGGAGGAGCCTGTTAGGTTCAAGAAGCACGTTCTTCTAGATGGAAGAGGTCACCTCCAGTGTAACATGGCATCCTTTCTTTGTGCTCTTGTCCTTCAACAGGGGCCATGGGACATACATGGGGGAGGAGAAGCTCATTGCGTCTGTGGCCGGCTCGGTGGAGAGAGTGAACAAGCTGATCTGTGTGAAAGCCCTGAAAACCAGGTGAGGACAGGTGTGGAGCTCTTTCTTGGAGCGTCTGTGCCGTTCAAGGTCTCTTCGTCTCCCCCACAATCCAGTGTGTCCTGTTAAAGGCCTGCTATGTTGAGCTCAGCTGTTTGTCACAGTTAGCTTCAGCTGCCAACTTGACACAAATCTAGAGCTACCTGGTAAGCAGGAACCTAAACTGAAGAATTGACACCATCAGATTAGCCTGTAGGCATGTTTGCTGGGAGGGTCCAGTCTATCCCTGGGCAGGTGGGCCTGGGGTGTGTAAAAATGCTGGTTGAGGGCTCGGTATCATGCGTTTTTAATCCCAGCACTTGGGGGAGGCAGAGGCAGGCAACTCTCTGTGAGTTGCAGGACAGCTAGGGCTATTCTGAGAGACCTGTCTAAGAGATGGGAGTGGGGGAAGGATATAGATATGCTGGCTGAGCCTGGGAAGCAAGCCAGAGAGCAGCGTCCTCCATGGGCTCTGCTTCCGTTCTGCCCTCCAGGTTCTGGCTTTGGCATTCCCTGATGATGGAGTGTTACCTGTAAGCCAGGTAAACCCTCTCCTTCCCAGATTGCTTTTGGCTGTAGTGTTGATCACAACAACAGGGAGCAAACTAGAACACTGTGAGAGGTAGCAAGCGCTTCGGAGGTTTCCTCATGTCACTCGACCCTCTGCAGAGTGGAGAAAATAGCCACCTCAGGATTTTCATTAGAATTCAGTGACATGTTGCATGTAAAGTACTTAACAGACAGGGCCAAGTACCTAAGAGCAGCCCATAAAAGTTAGTCCAGAAGGGAAGCCAGTGTGGCTGGAACTGAGTGGTCAAAGAGGAGACCAGGGCCTGAGCTAGGCAGGTGGTCACCCTGCTTGGCAGTGATGGTGAGCGTTTGGGCTTCATGTTGTGTGACCTGGGAAGCCCTTGGAAGGGACTAGACAGAAGAAAGCTGTGATCTGGCCTTTGTCTTAATCAGCTTGCTATAACTGTTGTGGGGACAGGGAGCTAGACTAGGGAACTGTACTTACCCAACAAAATAATGAAGTTATGGCAGCTCGCACAGGGGTAGCAGCACAGCACTCGGGAGCAGCGGCTACTTCCTCTGTGTACTTTGTTTTTGTGTACTGAGTGTCTTTACATGAAAGGGTGTTGGACTTTATTCTTAGGGGTTTTCTCTCTGTAGAAACGTTGCTCACTTGCAGTAACTGATGTGTTTAAGGATAGTTAAAGGATAGGGATGTTTTGGGTCCTTTTTTCTAGTCTGGATGTCTTTGCTTCCTTCATACATTTTAAGGTGTATCAGCAGGATTTGTGCTGCGCTTATCCCAGAGTGTGACAGGAATCAAGGTTGATGTTCCAAGGTTTTGACCTAAGCTTGGGAGGTTGGGGAGGTGGGGTGGCAAGCACTTACTGACCTGGGGGTGAATGGAGAGAGCAGTTTGCTGTGGACAAGGGGAAGCAGCTGCTGGCAGTCTTCACTTTGGATTTGTTACTTTTAGAAGTGTCCATGATGCTTTTACTCCCAGCACTCAAGGAGGCAGAAGCAGGCATATCTCTGAGTTTGAGGCCAGCCTGGTCTACAGCGTGAGTTCCAGGACAGGTTCCAATGCTACACAGATAAACCCTGTCTTGAAAAACAAAACAAAACAAAAAAATTAGAAGAAATGCTCATGAGCCAGTTATTTGGCTACTGATATTGGATAGCTCTGTGACCCCACCCCCTAAGAGCTGAGAGTGTGGATGTGTCCCAGCCTTTCACCATTAAAACTCAGTGAGCTCACTGTCAATGAGGGAGCTGTGAGTGGAAAGAGACCTAGTCTAATGCCTGGGCTTTCGCAAAGAACACTTCCCCTTGGGATCAGGGTGAGGGACCAGCAAAGTGCTGGCTCCAAGCAGGCAGCAGGGAGATGGCAGTTCGAGCCCCCATGGGTGGTGACCTGTTTCAGTCTCCTTTCTCCTCCAATGCCCTATTCACAGGTAAGTACTCCATGTTTTTAATTTGTCACATAATCAAAGTTAGGACTGCAATCTTAAGGAACAGTTTGCAAAGAGCAATTTCTTTAAGGATAGCTAATGAAGCATACACAGATAGATTCAGAAGGCCCCAGGTCTAAACACTGGTTACACCTGTTTGCTAAATATGCTTAACGAAGCCCTGACTCAGTCTCAAACAGTGCTTGGTCTGGTCAGCGTGCTGGCTGCTGGGTAACCTTTGCTTTCTCTTGCAGATACAATGGAGAAGTAGGAGACATTGTAGTGGGGAGAATCACAGAGGTAAAGTCACTGGTTTACAAAGTGAAGGATTGGTGGTTCAGGGATGGGACTGCCATTCTGTGAAATGCGGTGTGAAAACTGCCCCTGAGATGCTGCCCTACATTTTCTTTATAGGTTCAACAGAAGAGGTGGAAGGTGGAAACAAATTCCAGGCTGGACTCCGTCTTGCTCCTCTCGTCCATGAACCTGCCTGGAGGGGAGCTGGTGAGTGCTTGCTGCCCTGGCACTGTCCTGTGAGCTGGAGGGCTCTGCTCCGCCACAGAACTCTGCTTACACTGCTGCTTTTGGTCACAGAGTCGGCTACTGAAGGGGGACATAGGCTTTTCTCCTGGCCTCCCAACATAGGCAGCAACTAGTGTGGTAAACCAGAAACACGTGTGGAGTGGACTCCCAAGACAGAGAGAGCTTGGTGCATCGGCTTTGCACAGTGAGATCTTCATGAAGGAATGGCCTCAGCTTCCTTTCTTTTATTTTTTTGCGGGGACAGAAGGTTAGGGTTGAGGCAAAGTTTTTCTGTGTAGTCCTGACTGTCTTGAAACTATGTAGCCCAGGCTGGCCTGGAACTCACAGAGATCTGCCTGCCTCAGCCTTTCTAGTGCTGAGATTAAAGGCGTGTGCCACTAAGACCCATTTGTGCTTAGTTTTCAATAACCTGAATGACACGTGGTTATTCCCGACAGTGACAGCTTTTTGTCCATGTCATGGTTCAGTTTTATCATATTTCAGAGAGGCTTCCTGAACTGGGTCCTATGGGGAGTCCAGAATAAAGGAGCCACAACCGAGTTCCTTGGAGAGATTCTAGATGAGTGGAGGGTGGGAGATACCTGAGCCATGTGAGAATGAAGAAACACGGAGAGTCGTTGTTTCACAGGAGGGTCCTATGAGGTTGGGGATGCTGAGGTGACGGGAGGAGACATGAGCAGACACGGCCTGATGGAAGTGTGGTGGGTGAGTGGGGACCAGGCTCAGTGAGCTGGAAAGAGTCTAGGTTAGCTCAGGAGGGTCCCTCCTGGGAGAGCTAGCATCATCTTCCTTGTTCTCCGGCGGCCCAAGAGCTCTTGTCAGGGTCCTTCACCTTAGGATACCATGGTGGACGTCACAGACCTCAAGCAAAAGGCAGCAGTGGAAAGAGCTCTTTCTGAGAGTGAGGCTTGTGTCATGTGCTCGTTTTCCTGTGTGTTTCAGAGGAGAAGATCTGCGGAGGATGAACTGGCCATGAGAGGCTTCTTACAGGAAGGAGACCTCATCAGTGTATCCTGCCCTACAGGGCTGCAAGCATGACCAAGGGGGTCTGAGTTCTGGGTCAGGTGTCCGGGGCCTGGTGGCAGCTTTGCTCTTTCTCCTTAGCTCAGAAAACACCCTGGGTGCAAGCTAGACAGACTTGTCTTTCCTTTGTTTTTAAGAAGGATAGCCCAGGCTGGCTTGGAACTCACTGTATACCCCAGGCTAGCCTCAAATATGGCATTGCTGTCTCTGCTTCCTGAATACTGAGATTTTAGGCATAGCCCATCATTGCTGACTTAGCCCCAAATTTCCTTTTTTATCTTTTTTTTGTTTTGTTTTTTCTTTTTCGAGACAGGGTTTCTCTGTAGCTTTGGAGCCTGTCCTGGAACTAGCTCTTGTAGACCAGGCTGGCCTCAAACTCACAGAGATCTGCCTGCCTCTCTTTTTTGTCTTAAAAAAATATTTTATTACATTTATTTGTTTATTTATGTGTGCAATTACATCACTGCTATTCTGTGCATGTGGGGGTCAGAGGACAACTTGCAGGAGTTGATTCTCTTTTTCTTCCATGTGGGTCTAGGGGTGGAACTCAGATTGCCAGGCTGGATGCCAAGTATCTTTACCCACTAAGCCATCTCCCCAGCCCTCAAGTTTTCTAAACAATATGAACATTTAGCCCAGAGAATAGAGAAGATTGTATCAAGATATTCTTGCCAACCAAGGGGAGAGGTGAGGTCATAGTGATGTCCCCTGGGGTCATGTAAGATGGTGATGGAAGGGCAAGCTGGATGCAGGCAGTGACACAAGAGTGGGTTGGTTGCCAAGGCTACTGTTGTTCCTTCATCACCTGGGCAGGCGGAGGTCCAGGCAGTGTTCTCCGATGGAGCTGTTTCCCTCCACACAAGGAGCCTGAAATATGGAAAGGTAAGTCAGGCTTGGGAGGCTTTCAAGTCCATTTCTGAATCCCCATAGCTCCCTGGCATGGCTGACCTAAAGACCTGGTGGTTAGGTCTGGTGTCGTGGGCCTGTAATCCCAGCCCCCAGGAAGCTGAAGTAGAATTACAAATTGGAAACCAGACTAGACTCCAAGTGAGATAACCTCTCTGTACAACCCCCATCTTAAAACAACAAAAAGAACAGCACAGAACCCAGTTGGTTAGAACTGCTGGCTGCTGGCTGTGCTGACAGAGCCTGGTGGGAGAGGGAGTTTCTGCTACCCGTGGCAGGGCAAAGGGTGATTGATGTCCTGAGTCCTTTTTCTCCTGACGAGCCTGTTCTGGTAGATCTCCCGCCCCCTCGGATTGGGGATGTGAGGCTCTGCTCCCTCTGGGAGATGCTCAACCTGGTATTGAAAGGCTGGCTGCATGTCTGCAGAACTATGTCAACATGGTGGGTATTACTGTTCGTGAAGATGGATTTCCCATCTGAGCCTCTAAATGAAATTTGCCTGCTTCTGTGAGGTTCCATTATTGAGGTTATTTATTTTAAAGACAACATGCTTCCTAGGGCACATTAGGGTGTAGTTACTTCTTGGCTTTTCATTTTCTGAGAGGAACAAAAGAGCTGTGCCCTTTACTGAAATTCAGGCAGCTGTCCCCATGTTCTTGAACATGTACTTGAAATAGGAGGAGGTATTGTGTGTGCTGACCTCCACAGCCTGATACTATAAACACTTCATGGTATGTGGACCTAGAGCTGACCAGTCAAAACCAGGCTTGGGTTTGCCAACCCAGTGAACCACATCTCATGGGTGGCATGGGAATTTGAGGTTAAGATCCAAACTAGGGTCATGGAATGTGGCCAGTGGGAGGCTCCTCATTGGCTCTGCACACCTGCTCTGGGGTTAGACGGCAAAGGGAAATGACACAGTATTGATAGCCATTTTCTTTTAATTAAAATGTGCATGCCACCCGGTGGTGGTGGCGGCACACGCCTTTAATCCTAGCAGAGCCAGGCAGACCTCTATGAGTTCCAGGACAGTCTGGTCTACAGAGTGAGTTCCAGGACAAGCTCTAGAGCAACAGAGAAACTGTCTTGAAAAACCAAAACAACAACAAAATAATAATAATAATAAAAGTGCATGCCATGGTACATGTGTGGAGGTCAGAGGATCAGAGGACATCTTGTAGGAGTTGGTTATCTCCTACTGTGTGGGTTCTGGGGATTGAACTCAGCTTGTCATGCTTGGCAGCAGGCGCCTTTACCATTATCTCACCAACCTGACTGCCACCTTCTCTGGAATGTATAGCCAGGGGCCAGAAATGGGTTCTGCAAAGTGCCTGCTCCATGTGCACTGGGTGACAGGAAGGACAATGATGGGGTGTGTTGGGATGTATATTCTCTAACCTACTTTCCATTCCCCCACACAGTCTTAATGAGGAAGCTCAGGTAGCCTGGTATTAGTGAGCCTCTTACCTCAGCCTCTCAGATGCTATGCTTCACTACCTGGCTTCGGATCCATTTCCTTTTTTTTTTTTTTTAAATATTTATTTATTTATTATGTATACAATATTCTGTCTACATGTATGCCTGAAGGCCAGAAGAGGGCACCAGACCTCATTACAGATGGTTGTGAGCCACCATGTGGTTGCCGGGAATTGAACTCAGGACCTTTGGAAGAGTAGGCAGTGCTCTTAACCTCTGAGCCATCTCTCCAGCCCCCGGATCCATTTCCTTTTGATGCTGCTGTTTTGTTTGTTTTGCCCTAAGACAGGGTTTCTCTGTGTAGCCCTGGCTGTCCTGGAACTTGCTCTGTAGACCAGGATGGCTTCACACTCACAGAGATCCACCTGCCTCTGCCTCCCAAGTGCTAGGATTAAAGGCATGTGCCACCATGTCTGTCTTTGGTCTCTCCTTCTAGCTAGGTCAGGGAGTTTTAGTCCAGGTCTCTCCTTCCCTGGTGAAACGACAGAAGACTCACTTCCATGACTTGCCATGTGGTGCTTCAGTGATTCTGGGTAACAATGGTTTCATCTGGATCTACCCTACACCCGAGCACAAAGATGAGGATGCTGGAGGCTTCATTGCAAACCTGGAGGTGAGTATTTGTGGCAGGTAGAATCTGGTGTGTGTGTGTGTGTGTGTGTGTGAGAGAGAGAGAGAGAGAGAGAGAGAGAGAAGGGGGGGATTATGTGCCATGATAACATGCAGAGGTCAGGGCAAGCTCCTGTTGATGCTTGCCTTTTCCTTGTTTGAGACAGTCTCTGCTAACTGGTCTATGAGCTTCTGAAGGTTTCTAATTGGTGTGATAGGGTTTCGGACTTTTGTGCTCTGTCCAGCTTTTATGGGATTTTGAGGGGTCTATCTGCCGAGCCCTGCTGTGCCTTTGTGTCAATAGTCTTGTGCTCATAACATCTAGGATGTGTTCTGATGTTGATGGAAGTTTCCTGTTTTGGAGCAGCGGTCTTAAATACCCAGTGTCGCTTCCCAAATTACCACTTACTTAAATTACTTATAAATGCTCAACTAGTAGCTCAAGCTTATTATTAACTAGCTTTTACATTTTAAGTTAAACCCATATTCCTTATTTACACTCTGCCATGTGTAAATTTCTTTCTTTTCTTCTTCTTCTTCTTCTTATTCTTCTTCTTCTTCTTCTTCTTCTTCTTCTTCTTCTTCTTTTTTTTGGTTTGGTTTGGTTTTTCAAGACAGGGTTTCTTTGTAATTTTAGAGCCTGCCCTGGAACTAGCTCTTGTAGCCCAGGCTGGCCTTGAACTCACAGAGATCCGCCTGCCTCTGCCTCCCAAGTGCTGGGATTAAAGGCGTGCACTACCACCGCCCAGCGTGGTGGTACCTTTTCTTAGTACAGCATGCCTATCTTGCTCTCGGCATCTGCCTGGCATCTCCTGACTCCGCTCTTCTCTTTCCATCATCTTTAATTTGGTTGCTCCACCTATACTTCCTGCCTGGCTACTGGCCAATCAGCATTTTAGTAAACCAATTTGAGTGACAAACGTTTATAGTATACAAGAGGATTATTCCACAGCATTCTGAGAACTGCAGTGTTAGGTGATTTTTATCATTGTAGAGCACTGCAAGTATATTCAAAGGATGCTGCAGCACTGAAGTGGTGGTGGAGGCCACTGTATCTGTGTGAGCTGCTGATGCCTGAATGCTGCTTGTGGTTCGCTCACTATCTGGACTGCGGACATTTCTGTGCTTTGAATGAGTCTGATGTAGAGAGTATTTATTATTATTTGTGGGCACCTGATTGTCTTCTCTTCCCTGAAGAGATGACTCTGGCTGCCTTGCGCTTTGTTGGTGACAGTGGCAAAGTTACAGGGTAATACCAGATAGCCACTGAAGAAGCAACAGAGGGCCGGGGGGATGGCTCAGGTGGTAGATGGTAAAGTACTTACCTTGTAAGCATGAGAACCTGAGTTCAAATGCCAGAAGCTATGAAAAAATGTCAGAAGTGTTGGTACACATGTAATTCCAGTGCTGCGGGGTGGGAGTGGGGCTAATAAGCAGGCAGATCCCTGGGGCTTGCCTGCCAGCCAGTGTACAAAAGAATTATCCCAACAGGGTGGCATGGCATTCCATGGTGGAAACAAATGTGATTTCTCTCTTCTCTGGCTTCCGGGACTGTTTGCTTATTTGGATCCTATTTGTATTTCTTTTCCCTTCCCCTTTGTGTCCCTGTGTAGCCCGTAGCCCTTAGCGATCGAGAGGTGATCTCCCGGCTTCGGAACTGCGTAGTCTTGCTGGTAACTCAGAGAATGATGCTGTATGACACCAGCATCCTGTACTGCTATGAGGCCTCCCTTGCACATCAGGTACTCCAACCAGACTCCCTCCCTGTGTGTGAGCTGCTCCTCTGTTTCTTCAGCATTCAACTTTCCTTCCTTTACCCTGTAGCAGGAACTAGCCAGGTACAACCTTAATAAGAGTTCCTGCTATGGTCCCTGAGATATTTCCAGTATTGCTATGGATTTGGTGTAGGATGGGATTGTAGGCAGGATTTTTTTACAATAGCTTTCCATACTTCATCTTGCCTGTTCCAAGATTCAGCCATATTCTTGATGCTTTCTCAAGTCAACAGATTTTTTTCTTGACTTAAATAAAAAAATTTTTTATATATATATGTATGGGTGTTTTGCCTGCATGTGTGTATGTCTGTGCACCACGTGCATGCCTAGTGCCTGCGGAGGCCAGAAGAGAGCATCAGATCCCCTGGAACTCAAGTTACTGTCAACTGCCATGTGGGTGCTGGGAACTGACCCAGAATTTTCTGAAAGAACAGCAAGTGCTCTTAACCACTGAGGTCACTCTCCAGCCCTTCAGCCATCTTCTGATGAGTGCCTGAAAGGGCACTTTGCTGGCTTTGCTCATCTCTGATGGAGTGCAGGCTGCATCAGTGTATGGTAGCCAGGCTCCCTTACCTTGTTTAGTTGACTTGGTGTTCTGCTTATGGTCATTTCTGAATGAACATAAACTTTTTTCTGTTTTTCTTCAGATCAAAGATATCTTAAAGCCAGAAGTAATGGAGGAGATCATGCTAGAGACACGCCAAAGGCTTTTGGAACAGGAGGGATAAGGCCAGGTGCTGAAGGATGAAACTGTGCGCCTCTCTGGCGCAGCCCCTGGAGGGAAGAGTCTATATGTGATGACTCTTGCCCCACATGTGGCCCAGGGAGGATCTGACAGAGACATTACTCACCTGCAGTGGCACAGCAGGGCCGGGCCTCTTCTTTCCTGTTCTGAGACAAAGCCAGGGTGGAAGTGAACGGTGGCTTTGGATGCTCAGGTCCCTTTCAGAGCAAAGTGTCCCCGCCTGATGATGTATCTTGGAGTAAACCGGAGAATCCATGTCTTCCAGTCACACCACACGCACTCCATGAAACTGTTTCAGTGGAAAACATGGTGGGCTGGGGATATAGCTCGGCTGGAGCACTTTCCTAACATGTCCCAGCCCTACTCCTACCCCAGACAAAAGAAAACCAGCGAGAGTGGTCTGTTTGACGTCCACTCTATCTCTAATGCACAAGTGTGGTTGGAGAAGAGGAGGTAGAGTTAGGCCAGCAGTCAGTCAGAACAAAATGAGCTGGCAGCCTTTGTTAGAATCTGATTCCCACTGTGTCCTCTGGTGACAGGTTCAAGGGATCTGTATCCTCTACCTGGGCTTCCTACCCCTTGTATGTGAGCTGTTCCTGTTTTTCTAGCATCTCGGCTCCTTCAATATGTCCACCAACAGGAACTGGCCTGGAGGCCTTTCCAAGTGCCTGCGATATTCCCTGAGATATTGGCAGTTTTCTCTGTAGTGCCTGTCCTGCCTGAGGGTGGTTTGTAAGAATTTGAGCCATTGCCAATAACTGAGAGAAAGAGTGTTCTGGGCCCACAGTGTTTTTTTATGCTCTAACAAAAAACAAAAATGGAGTTGTGAAAAGCCAAGCCATTTCCTTGTGTAATTGATGTGGTGATGTATTATCTTTTGAATAATTTAAAGTTAAAAGAAACAAGATATAAGTTCTCAATATACAGCTCCAGTTCCTATGCTTTGTTTTTCTTATGACTTGCTTAAAAATGGGTACCCTGGTCCAGCATGGTAGTGCAGGCAGGCCTGTGATTCCATATGAAGGCAGAGGCAGGAGTTGAGGCCAACCTGGGCTGCACAGTGAGACCATCTCACTGCACAAAACAAAAATGGTCCCGATTTACATTTTTTCAATTAACATTCCCCCATACTTATTTTTTGTATATTAACTTATTTTTGTGTGTGTGTGAGAATGCATGCTTGTGGAAGTCAGGACCACTTGTAAGAGTTAATTCTCTCCTACCATGTAGGTTCCAGGGATCAAACAGGTCATCAGGCTTGGCAGCAAGCACCCTTTTTTGAGCCATTAAACTGGCCCAAAACATTTGTTTATTTTTGCCAGCGTTAGGGTTGGAACCTAGGGCCTAGTCTATACTATACTACTGGGCAAGGACAGCTCTGAGCAATGGCTTCTTTGGATGCTGGGTATGGTGGTGAACACTTTTCATCCTAGCACTCTTGAGGCAGAAGCAGGCTGATCTCTTCAAAGCCAGCCTAGCCTACACAGCCAAGGCTATATTGAGACCCCATCTCGAAAAACCAAACCAAAACAACGGTAAATTCTTTGGGCATTTCATAACTATATGTAGTGTGTTTTGGTCATATCCTTCCAGTCCCCAACTCCTGGACCCTTCCAGAGGCCCTCCTCCCAACTCCCCCCCTCCCCCTCTGCTATTTCTGTGTAGCCCTGGCTGTCCTAGAACTCACTGTGGTGACCAAGCTGGTCTCAAAACTCACAGAGATGCACCTGCCTTGCCCTCCCCCTCCTTTTTTAGTTTTAAATAACCTATGGAGTCTAGTTAGTGCTGCCCATCTGCCCAGAATACAGTCTGACCCGGTGGCAGAAGCTTGAGGTGGCTAGTCACATCGTGTCCACAGGGCAGATGAGTGCTGGTGCTGGACTCACCATCTCCCTTACATCCAGCCCAAACTCAAGGCAGTAAAATGCTGCGGCCCACAGTTAGGGTGATTCTTCCACCTCAACCCAATCTAGAAGCCTACTGATAGAATGTCCAGAGTTCTGTTTCCATGATTCTAATCCTATCAAGTTTACAATCAAGATTAACCATCACATGGCCTCAGTCAGTAGACAACTCTTTCTGAGATGGTCATAGGTGACAATTTTACCCTATGGTACCAGTTATTTCCTGTATCTGTACTGCCACTTCAGGTGGGCTCACCTGTCCCAGATTTCCCAGGTGGTTCCCTTTTTTTTTTTTTTAACATTTGTTTATTTTTTGAGACAGGGTTTTTTCTGTATTGCCCTGGCTGTCCTGGCACTAGTTGTGTAGGCCAGGCTGGCCTCAAATTCACAGAAATCTGCCTGCTTCCAAGGGCTGGGATTAAAGGCTAGCACCACCACTGCTTGGCGGTTGCTCACCTCTTAAGGAATGGGAATGGGGGCCTAAGTCCCACTCAAGCTCAGCTGTCGTCCTCTGTTTTCTCCCAAGCTGCTGGCCATGCTTTTTCAGCGTCTGCTTCTGGGCAGCTCACTCAGTAGAGAGGTCCAAAAGCATCTTCTGCTGGGTATGTGCTTTCCACCACTATGTCCACCAGAGGGCGCCCTCAGTAAGTGTAACGGTTCAGTGGGATAAGAAAAAGCTGAAGTTTTGTTACCCAGCTTTGCTTTATGAAAGTAAGAACAAAATTTGATTGAGTTGAACCACTTTTAATGAAAATCTTTGAGAAATGCAGGATATATCAACATTGGCTATCCCTTCAGCTACTTAATGGGCTCTGCATTCTGTAGTTTGACCCCCTAAAGGTTTACTAGAGTTAAAAAGTAGTGCATCTTGCTTGTTTTTCCATGGTGCCTCCTAGGTAGTCAGCTGTATCAAGATGAAGCCGAGTACCTCCTTCCCTGCCAGTGGCTGTCAGGAACTCATGAACGTGGATGGTGAGCACAAGCTTCGTGCTTCCTAGAAGTGCATGGCCACAGAAGTAGCTGCTGATGCTCTGGGTGAAGAGCGGAGGGTCACGTGGTCAGAATCAGTGATGGGAACAACAAACAAGGTTTTCCCACGAAGCAAGGCATGCTGACCCCTGGCAGAGTGTGCCTGCTGTAGGGTAAGGGGCGTTCCTGTTACAGACCAAGGAGGACTCTTGGAGGGAGGAAGGAAGTGCTTGTCTGTTCATGGATGGCAACCTGAGTGCTCTCAATTTGATTACTGTAAGAAGAAAGGAGAGAAGGATATTCATGGACTGACTGGCTGTGTCTCGGCTGCTGGAACCCAAAAGTGCTAGCAGAATCTGAAAGCTTTTTAGTCTCTTTTTTTTTTTAGAGATTTATTTATATTTATTATGTGTACAGCATTCCTTCCATGTGTGCCCACATGCCAGAAGGGGGCGCCAGGTCTTATTATAGATGGCTATGAGTCACCATGTGGTTGCTGGGAATTGAACTCAGGACCTCTGGAAGAGCAGTCAGTGCTCTTAACCACTGAGCCATCTCTCCAGCCTGCTTTTTAGTATCTTAAAAGAAGATGTCCACTGTTATCAGAAAGCCCTTGAAGGAAAGCCCAGGACGAAAGCACCCCAGACTCAGCATCTTGTTCCACCACTGTTCTGCAACATAAGTGTTGATATATTGCTCTGAAGAAACAGTACATTAATGAAACAAGGAGGCTGCAGAAAATGCTAAACTTCTGCCCAACAGAATGAAAAAAACCAACGAAAAACCCCAGCAACAAATTGTCAGGAGATGTAGGCTGTCTTGCTGGGAGCTTCTGAGTCTAGTCAAAAATAATTCTTTAACAGTAACAAATTATCAAAAAAAAGTAGTGCATCTCTAGGAAGAAAATCACAGACGAGGCTTAGAGCTCATCTGAGAGAAAAATGCGAGTACAAACTGAGGGTCTGGGATAAAGCTACATATAAACACAGGCAATGGCCCTAAGCGAGGACAGTGAGGCAGAGCTGAGCTGCGAGGCCGAGGTCAAGTGCCATCTTAGAGCAACAGAAACAATTAAAAGCAATGCCCTTTGGTTTGAGATGAGGAAACTAATTAGGGAATTGGATGAAGAACGGGCAACTAAAAGGAAAACAGATTTGAGCTTCAGCACGGCATCAAAGCCATGTATGAGCACAGGTTGAGCCAACTGCGAAGGGCTATGGATCTAGGAGTGTAGTTTGCAGCATTGAAGTTTTATTTTTAAATGTGTATGGGTATTTTGCCTGCGTGTATGGCTGTGTACCACATGATGTGCCAGGTACCTTCCAAGACCAGAAAGGGAATGAGATACCCTGGAACTAGAGTTACATATGGTTGTGAGTTGCCATGTGGGTGCTGGGAATTAAACCAGGGTCCTCTGGAACAGCAGTCAGTGCATTTAACCACTGAGTCATCTCTCCAGCCCCAAGACTGAGTTTTGTTTGGATCACCATCTTACTTACTGACTGCCTGTTCTGTTCCTCTCTCTCTCTCTCTCTCTCTCTCTCTCTCTCTCTCTCTCTCTCTCGACAGGGTTTCTCTAAGCTTTGGAGGCTGTCCTGGAACTAGCTCTTGTAGACCAGGCTGGCTTCAAATTTAGCGATCCACCTACCTCTGCCTCCTGAGTTCTGGGATTAAAGGCGTGCGCCACCACTGCCTACCCTGTTCCTCTTTCTGTATGCGGAGCAAGAAGGCACCTTCTCTTAGTGCTGTATGCCAGAACCAGGAATAGGTGCTTAGTAAATGTGTTAGTTGCTAGAACTGGGAATGTAACCGCCTTGGTAGGGTGCTCACCTAACATTCTTAAGGCCCTGGTTTCCATCCCTAGCACTGCTTGAATCGGTTTTAATAGAGCATAACCCTGACACTTGGAAAGTGGTTGTGGAAAGATCAGAAGTATAAGGGAGTTGGAGGGCAGCCTGGGTTGAAAATCCTGTCAAAATCAAACCACTGAATGCTGGTTCAAGAAATACTTATTGAAGAGTTGCAGTTCGAGGAGCTGAAGAGATGGCTCAGTCGTTAAGAGCACTTACTACTTTTGCAGAAGATCTGGGTTTGGTTTCCAGCTCATAGCCATGTCTGCCACTCCAGCTCCAGGGGTTCTGATGCCTTTTGGCCTCTGTTGGCAATAGGCAACATATATGGTGCACATAAACTCATGCATGCACCCATACATACATGTACATAAAAATCTCTTAAGTTAGGATTTGGTTGTTCAGTTTAAAGTTCAACTAGAGAGTGAAAAATGTGGGCGGGGAAAGAAAAGGGCTAAAGCATAAGAAATTAAAAAGAATCTTCAAAAAAGAAAAAACAGTGATCAGGATGAGAACAGGTAAATAATAGAAACAAAGGCATCCAGTCTGCAGACTGGCAGTACAAGTTAGGAGAAAGTCTAACAGCCAAACTCAAAAGCAAGATGACAATAAGACTGTCCTGTGAGTGAACAAAAGCTCACTCACTAGGTTTACAAATCCACTTCTAAATCTGGGCACAAGTTCTTTTGCTTGACATTCTGTATTTTAAGTGACATGCCACTTTTTTTCCTTTTTTTTTTATTTTTTAAATTCAGGGTCTTACTATGTTGCTTATGCTGGCCTTGAACTCGCAGAGATCTGCCTGTTGAGTGCTGAGGTTAAATGTGTGTGCTTCTTGAAATGCCATTTTCAAAAAACAAGTGCCACTTCTTAACCTGGCAGAAGATTTCTAAAGTACTTAGTTGGGCACACATTCCTGCAGTAACGTCTGAAAAGCTTGCTTGACATTAGCTTGACAATTTCTTGGTATTGAATGCTGTGGTAGAAAAGCCATGCTTTTGAGCAAGGAGTAGCAACGTTTAAGTGATACTTCACTTAAAGTGGAAACAACATTTTATGTAAAAGTGCAGACTAAGTGCTGTGGTGTGTCCTTAAGAAATGGGCCCAGGTGCCGGAGAGGTGGTGGGGCACGCCTTTAATCCCAGCACAAGGAAAGCAGAGGCAGGTGGATCTTTGTGAGTTCGAGGCCAGCCTGGTCTGCAGAGCAAGTTCCAGGACAGCCAGGGCAATATAGAAAAACCATGTCTCGAAAAAACCCCCCCCCCCCCCCCCCCCCCCACTGGGGGCGGGGGGTGGGGAAGGCGGCAGAGGATGAACTTTCACAGGTGTGGGGTAGTTTCACAGACTTTTGAGATCTGATAACCTGGGCAGTTTTCGCCTAACTTCTAATTTTATGAGAATGCATGTCTCACTGTGAAATGTCATGGTAAGGATTCATACTAGTGCAAACATGCACGATCGCGCCTGGGATACTCCGAACAAACATTGCTTCTTCAACTTCTTCCTATCCCAAAGGATCGTTAAGACTTGCTTTTTCAATACTTTTTCCCAGGTTCCCATATTTATGCCTTTCCGAAGTCCTGAGGACGTAACGCAATGGTCGGTCATCTTGGTTTTTAAAGCGAGCCAAAGTTTCTCCCCTAACGAGGCTCAAAGAAGTAATCCAACTCCGGTTCTGGGAAACTCCAATCCGTAGTTTTCCCCTGGCTCTGACTCGCCCGCTGTCTTGCTACTCGAGCAGTGAAGAAGTTGGCTGACCAGAGTCCACCAGTTCCCAGGGGGCGGGACCAGCTCTCTAGCTATAGGAGCTGGAGGCTGGAGCCTCAGCGAGCAGCCCATGGGCGCCAGGACCACAACTCCCAACATACCTCGCGGCAGCATCGAACACTATTAGCTGGCTCTTTCACCCTCACTGGCCAATTGGATGGCGGGAGGGGGGGGGAAACAAACGCCAGTTACCGGAAGACCAGTAATAAAGCAGAGGAGGCGGGCGCTTCCTCATTGCTCACCTTGAGCTCAGAAAACCTACCTTTAAAAGGTCGTGCGGAGCCGGTCGGTCGCGGGCAGTGCGGCGGCAGCCTGAAGGTGCGGCGGCGAGTAGGAGAGCCGCGACGGCCAACCATCAGACCTCGCGCAGGGTGTTACGGCGTCGCCGGGGGAGGGGCCGGGGGCGGGGCCTGGCCTCGTTGTGGAGCAGCCCGTAATCCATCATGGCGGCCTCAGGGGTTGGTGTCTATCCCTGAGAGGCGCTTGACCTGGAGCCGGTTGCAGGGTCCTACGGCTAAGAAGGGAGCCCTTCCACGGCACACACCCCTACTGGCTGGAGTAGCCGGGTCCCTTGGTAGCGCCGGGGATGTGACTGCTCAGCGGCGGCAGAGTGTGAAGCCGGGGGAGGGGTGTCACGGAGAGACCCCTGGCTCGGGGCAGCTGAGGCGCCGGGCCTCCTCCCCTGTGACCGCCTCCCGGTTCGGGACTGCGGGAGTCCCTCGTCCTTTACAGCTCTGCTCTAGCTCTGGACCATCCAGGGTGGTCTCAGTTTCAGCCTACCTGGGACACTCAGTTTCCTGAGACGTGGAGGAGCGTCGCCCCGAGTAAGCCGCCCGCGCCCCGCCTGGGGAAGTCTCTTTCTCACCCCGAGGCCGTCCTTCGCTCGATCCCAACCCCAAGTTTGGCCACGGAACCCCTCATTCAAATCATCTCCCTGCTGTCAAGAGATCTCCGCGGTCCTCCCAGATTGCTTCCGCCGGCCTCCGATGTCCTGACTTCTTCCAATGTCACCTACAGCCCCATTGGTCTCGGTGCAGCCCAAAACTTTAATGCAAAGGAAAAGTCTGGATTGGTTTCACAGGCCTTTTAAAAAGCGGACTTAAAGGTTGCTGGCCATGCATTCCTTCTCGGCGGAGTGGAGAGCAAGCTCTGGTTGAGATCTGTGTGACCGGTATCTTTCCGGGAGAGCAGGGTAGGGAAGAGAGGGCAGGAAATTGGTTGGAGAGACAGATAGGGGATTGGTGACTTCCACAGGAGAAGGTGCAGAGAGCCGTCAAAGATGTTCTGTTTCCAGCCCGCTGGGGAGTTGAAATGACTTTTAGTACTGTTGATCCTTTTCAGACTTCCCTGTGGATGTTTCTATCTAAAATTCTCTTCTTGCAAAGAAACTCTTCCTCAGCCCTCAAAATACACTTAGAATCAAGAAACTTTTGGGTAGCGTTGCGATTACATGACTTCAAATTAATCAACTTGGAATAGAATTCCAGACTCCTGTTTACACGTGTGGACCTCAGACCCAGTTTCCCGTTCTCATGGAAGTCGTCTTTCTGTGATTGACCCCATTTACTGCCGTGGGAGGCAGTGGTGTGAAGTTCTGGGTACATACTGTTTTCTGCTAATCCCCACGGATCATTCTGGAAGATCTTGAACCCTCTTCTGGAAAAGGGTGCCTATCATTCATTGCTTTATGGGGCAGCAGCCTGGAAAAGTTCTTGGGGACCAAAGAAGGCCTAGTTTGCCCGCCCTGCATTTTATCAAGGGGTCAGGGAAGCGAGAGTCATCACGGCATGGGGGCCCACACTGCAACGTGTTCGTGGAACATGGTGAGTGCTTTCCAGGTTTCTGATCATGGCTTTTCCTGTAGCGTCAAAGGACTTTCTGAAACAATACTGTCAGCTCCTGCTAGATCTGCTTAGCGTTTTTGCTACTGTAGTTATTAGTTAGTGGTGGAGCAGTTCTTTGCCTAAGAAAATTATGACTTTATTCCGTCTGTTTCTAGCCAGAGTCCACTTCTGGTTTGTTGTTGACATGGGACAAGTCCCTTTTCTGTTTGGGGGCCTGCATTCTGTGGGGTAGAGGACTGGACTTAGGTGGCCTTGAAGCATCCATAGTTCTTCCCATCTATCTGCTCTCACTAAAAGTTGGCACTCTACTATCGGGCATGGATTTTTGGGGGCGGGGGTGGTTATTGTTTGGTTTTTCAAGAGGGGGGTTTCTCAATGTAACAATGCAGGCTGTCTTGGAACTCACTGTATAGACTAGGGTGGCCTTGAATTCACAGAGATCCTCCTGCCTCTGCCTCTGAGTGCTGGTGCTAAAGGTGTGCTCCACCACCACCCGGAGAGCATGGATTGTTTTACTGCACTTGTCTCATATCCACACTGTTGTGGACTGAAAAGTTCGACCGGAACCTGATTGATACTAGCTTGAAAGTTCTCACTTTGAGCAAGGTGGGGGAAGTTGAGTGTGGAAGCAGTGTGCCCCCTAACCTGAGGAGTGCTCTGTTACTTTCTCTGGGGAATAGCCCTGTTCTCAGTGATGGAGCTTTCTTCACCTTCCTCTCTCCTGATGCTTAGCTGCCATTGACATTTTTATTAACCTTTTATTTAATTGGTTCATAATGCTGACCGCACCTGTTGTGTTGATGGCGAACAGTTAAGGTCAGCTTAGACTAATGCATTGCCAAGGCCAGCTAGGGTCCTGGGTGTACTGTGGCAGTGATACTTCTCAAACTGAACTTATTGAACCATCATACTGTATAAGCGAATATAGCCTATGCAAGGCTCTCATAGACTTTGAGATTCAGTCGTGACTTTGAGATTCAGTCGTGACTTTGAGATTCAGTCGTCGTAAATACTTATCAGTAGGTGACTACTGTAAACAGTGGCTGCTTTGGGGTGAACTTATATTTGAAAATTGAAGTTTTTTCTTAAGGTCTAGTTTGTTTTATGTGTATGAATATTTTGATACCTTCAGAGGTCAGAAAAGAATGTTGGATCCTTGGAACTGAGTTACAGATAGTCATGAGCCATTGTGTAGATGCTGGCAATTGAACCTGGATCCTCTAAGAGCAACAAGTGCCCTTACCTGCATAACTGTCCCTCTAGTACCTCTTTGTTGTTGTTGTTGTTGTTGCTATTAATTTTTTCTTTTATCTATTTCCTTTTATTTATTCTATTTGTTTGTTTTGTTTTTTTGAGACAGGGTTTCTTTGGTAGTCTCGTCTATCCTAGAACTCTCTCTGTAGACCAAACTGACCTTGAATTTCTAGAGATCTGCCTACCTCTGCCTCCCAAGTGCTGGAATTAAAGGCAAGTGCCACCATTTCCTGGAATAATTTTTAAAAAATTTTTTGTGTATGTGTTTTGTCTGCATGTATGTCTGTGCACCACTTGTATGCAGGGCCTATAGTGCCAGAAGAAGGCATCAGAAACCCTGGAACTGGAGTTACAGGTGGTTGTGAGTCACATGTGGGCTGCTAGGAATCAAACCCTGATCCTTTTGAAGAGTAACCAGTGCTCTTAATCACTAAGCCATTTCTTTAGCTCCTTTTTTTCTTTTAATTATTTTTAATTACGTGTATGTCTATGGGTATGTGCACATAAATGCAGGTGCCTGCGGGAGGCCAGAGACTTCAGCTCCTCCCTGAAGCTGCAAGAGCAGTACGTTCTCTTGACTGCTGAGCCACCTGTCTAGCCTGACATTTTCTTTTCTTGTATGAAATACCTCAACTCAAGCAAGTGTGGGCAACTTGGTTCTATTCCACCTTGAATCAGTAGTTCTTTTGAGCACTGATGTGAAGTAGGCAAGTGTGACAATTTGCTAAGATACTTCAAATTCACCACTGAGAACATTATAATCTGCTGATTTTGATATAGCTTCAGAAAGTTGGTAGAGACTTTCAGAAAGTGTTGACTAAACTGGAAACGACCCAGGAAGCTCACATCCAGGAATCCTGGCCTAGGTGTCTCTGATACCTCTCAGGGGTTTGGAGGGGAGATGGGTCTTATGTAGCTTAGGTGGGTCCCTAACTCAGTACATAGCAGAGAAAGACCTTGGTCTCTTCTCCGCTCCTCAAGTGTTGAAATTATAGGTGCTTCTGACCTGCCTTCTCCTTTTGTGTGTGTGTATATATAAATAAATTTTATTATCCTGGTGTTGATGGAGCATGCCTTTAAACTCAGTCCTTGGGAGGCAGAGGCAGGATGATCTCTGAGTTTGAGGCCAGCCTGGTCTATAAATCAAGTTCCCGGACAGCCAGGGCAGTTATACAGAAACCCTGTCTTGAAAACCAAACAAAACTCACAAACAAACAAAGTTTATTTATTATCATTGTGAGTTTAGAAGTGTGTGTCTGGGTTGTCTTTGTCAGAGGACAACTTTGGGGACTCTGTTGTCTCCTTCTACCTTTCCATGGGTTCCAGGAATCAACTCAGGCTGTCAGGCTTGAGTGCCAAGAGTCTTCAGCCCATCTTGCCGGCCTGTGTGCGTATTCTTTTGATGCTCTGAGACCTAGTGGGAATATGTATAAACCTCATTGCTGTATACTGATGTGAGACAGTGTTCCTGATAACAACACTGGAGCAACTATTTGCGTGGTCACCTGAACAGCCACCTTTTCATTTTTCTTTTTCTCTTTTGTTTTCTGATCTGTCATTTTTACTTGGAACTGCAACTGGTGGACTGTGATTATTTGTATTAAAATTTATTTTTCCTTTTCAAACTGATTTTAGAGAATTTGTATTGCCACTATGTTGCCCATACCAGTGTGATATTTACAGGCATAGTCAGGGAACCAACATTTTCTAAGGGATCAGCAGATTCGTATGTGATACATGGTTGCACAGGGGTGAGAGATGCCTTCAGACTGCAAGGTGAGGAAGTAGTTTTCAATGTTCCTTTAGAGAAGATTGTGGAGACTTCAGATTCTGTAAGGCAGGCAGCCTTTGAGAAGCTTAGGGAAGAGCTATGCTTATCAACCAAGTTTACTTGTTTGGGAAGAAGCAGATATTTAGCTATAAAAATAAATAATAAAAATGCTTAGTTTTGCATGAATAAATGGATATATTTAAAATTTTCAACTTTATTTTCTAATATGGACAGTATTTGAGATAAACCACATAAACTAAAGGTCTTTTTGCCATCACTAATTTTCTAAAAATTTAGAGACATGAAATTAAAAAGTACAGACCTAGCCGGGCATGCCTTTAATCCCAGTACTCAGGAAGCGGAGGCAAGTGCAGGTGAATTTCCGTGAGTTCAAGGCCAGCCTGGTGTGCAGACTGAGTGCCCTGATGGCCAGGACTACACAGAGAAACACTGTCTCCCAAAATTAAAAAACAACAAACAAACAAACAAAATTGCAGACCTTGATCAGTGTGGTTGTAGACACTTTTAAGAGGCAGACAGAAGCTGGCAAATCCCTGTGGGTTTGAGGCTACTTAGTCTATACAGGGAGTTCTAGGTCAGCCAGAGTTACTTAGTGAGACCCTGTCTGAAATAAAATAAAATAAAATAAAATGCATGGGCCTGTCATTGTAGGAAGTCCATTCAAGGCACACAAGGATGTTTTCTGCAGGCATGCTTCTGTTTAATCGTCTTCGTATGATCCTGTTTGGGCTTGCATGTGTCATGTGCGCATGTGGAAGTCAGAAGACAACTTTACATACTCACGTCTCTTTCCTCCCTTAAGTAGGTGTTGGAGATGAAATAAGTCATCAGGTTTGGTGGCAAGAGCCTTCTCCACATACTTCAAAGAGCCACCAATGAAGGCCACCCATGTTACAGTAAATGGAAGAAAAAAGACATTTAGAGGCTTATTCTATAGGGTTTGACTCCATTTTTCAAAAACAAACAATTACTTATTATATATGTAGAAGTATGAAAGGATTTTAAACCAAAATTGCTGTTTATAGGGAATTGAGATTTAGGAAAGATAGAAAAAAAATTAAGTTTTTTTTTCTGTTTTTTTTTTTTTTTTTTTTTTTTTTTGAGTCAGATGTGTAGACCGGCATGACCTGAAATTCTAGCTTGGCCATCTTCCTGCCTCTGTCTCACATTCAGGATGACTGACAGGAACCATCATCCCTTCTTAAACTTCGTGATGTTCCAAATATCTTCTTACAACAAAAGTGTTTTTTGCAATTAAAATAGGTAGATTTTTATCCGAACTAATGACTCAATCAAATAGTTACTTCTTTGCTGCATGCTTTTTGTGTTGGTTTGCTTGCCTTGTTTGAAGATCAGTTTCCTTAGACTTGGAGGATTCTTTATCTGAAAGACTATGGATTTTACTTCTAAACTGTCCTTCATCCTCCACAGACTGTGTTTTTCTAGGGTTTATGTTTATGTAGATGAGACAGAAAAACCTGAGGTCTAACACATGGTGTGGGGCTAAGCAAGAGTTGGAAGCTAAGAATCATCTGATGTGGTGGTTGCAATGGTGGTAGTGGTTGTGGTGATGAAGATGATGGTGGTGATCATGGTGTTGGTGGTAGTTGGTGGTATTGTTGATGAATTTTCTAGGGGTAAGCAGATAGTAACATTTTGCCAGGATCATTTAGGGTGGAAATGGTTTAGTCATAAAGAGAAAAAAATAGACTCTGGTATTTTTTTTTATGTCCCACATATTCTTTTCAAATTTTAGTGACTTGCCTAAGAACAATCCACTTTTAGGAGTGTTGAAAGTATTCAGCAGTAAACTTTTTTCTTGGTGTTTCCCTTTTCTTCTACAAATGTTTATTGAGCACACATGTGCTAGGTAGTATTTTGATCAATAGAGAGCAGAATGAAACTCCTCCCCTCTTAGAACCTTTGTTCTATAGACAGAGGTAACTCCAGTGTAGGGTGGTATTGCTCGACCAGCGGCTGAGGTCACTTTTGAATAAAGCAAGGAGGGAGGTAGGGAGCAAGCTGTCGGCCAAATTGTTGCAGGCAGAGGGTGTCAGCTCAAGGGTACCAGCCTGCCACTGCCCTGAGGCTGGGATTGCTTAGCACAGGCCTGGCCGGAAGAGCTGAGAGAGAGCGAAGGAGGCTGCACAAGAATGCCAGGAGAATGCCTGGGAAGAGCAGGGCTTTGCTGGCCCCTCATGTGGTTTGTGAAGTTTTGGAGAGGAGTAATAGGACCTGATGTATAGTCTCCCCACTCTGTGTTTTTTTTTTTTTCTTTTCTTTTGGCAGGGTTTCTCTGTAGCTTTGGAGCCTGGAACTCAAGCTGTAGACCAGGCTGGTCTCGAACTCACAGAGATCCACCTATCTCTGCATCCCAAGTGCTGGGATTAAAGGCATACGTCACTACCACCCGACCACCGCTCCCTCTTTTTGAGATAAATTCTCATTGTTGTAGCCCAGGGTGGTCAGGAATCCTGACCCTCCTCTGCCCCACTTAAGTGTTGGCTATAGGTATGAGCCACCTGCCTGACCTGATTTATATTCTGAGTCAGTCTTTTTGGACAGGGTGGTCTGGAGGAGATTGAAGAAGGAGGCAGGACTTCCCTGTGTGTAGTCAGGGTTCTTTAGAGGGACAGAATTTACAGAATGAATTTCCCTGTATATATGGAAAGGGGAGTTATTAGAATGACTTGCAGGTTGTGGTCCAACTAATCCAACATTGGCTGTCTATGAATGGAAGGTTCAAAATCCAGCAGTTGTTCAGTCCCTGAGGCTGGATGTCTCATCTTCTTCAGTATGCACTGGAGTCCTGAAGTTGTAGGTTCTTGTGTCAGTCTTAACTGAACTCTCTAGTGAGGGCCAACAGGCAAAGAGAGAGAGCTTCTTCTTTATTCCAGGTTTGTTTCTTTGTTTTTCTTTTGTTTTTTGAGACAAGGTTTCTCCACGTACCCCTGGCTGTCCTGGAACTCACTCTGTAGACCAGACTAGCCTTGAACTCACAGAGATCTGCCTGCCTCAGCCTGAAATTATCCTAAGCTTCAGCGGCTGTTGATAGTTTTTTCCAGGGTGAAAGTTTCTGTGTATTCATGAGGCCCTGAGCTCAGAGCTGAGATTATAGTCCTGTGCCCTCAAGCCTATGTTCATGTAGGTGCTGGGAATCAGAGTTCAGACCCCCAAGGTTGTCAGCAAGTGCTTTGCTAAGGATGCCATCTCTCCAGCCCTAACAAGGTCCTTGTAGTATGGAAGAATCTGTTGTGGGATATGTGGGAAAAGCCACTGAATGATTTAACCAGGAATCTGGCTCCCTTTGAGTGAGCAGACTGATAGGTAGTAGAAGCTGAAGAAATGTGGAATCATGTGTGTTCGTGGAGGAATTTGGGTACACTGGTGAGTTGCAGAGTCATTTTTCCAGTGAGGAGCATGAGGTACATTGCCATCCTGAAGTTGAATTAGACATATGGGGAGGGCCTGCACATGCTAACGTGGTGTCTGGGTCTAGTAGACATTCAGACTGCTGCTCAGGTCTTGCGGAAGAGGGCACACTCCTTCAGACCTCCTTTGCC